TCATTCAACAATATCCTTAAACTATTCTTAGTCTAAGGCCAATCTATTTGATGTTTACCAACTCTTAAACGAATTCTAGTTTAAGATATTTAAACTATATTCGAGTTTAAGGTACTCTTAACTAACCCTTAAGCTAGGCCTAGTTTAAGATACAAATTTTCAAAAAGAGGTTTTCAAAATCTTAAACTTACCTTCGCTTAAGGTCATCCAGAAATCGAACAGCGGAATGCTCACTGTCGGGTTGGGTGGTATCCCCAAACGAGCTCCTCTAGTTTGGTTTGTAGATCCCGTAGGTACGTTTTAACCCAGGCCACCGAATATTCATAATTATACCCGCAAGGCCTATTTCTAAGCCATCTTAGAGGTCTTCTAGATAGTCTTAGAAACCAACGTCAACCTAGGTATATCTTAGAGTTCTTCTAGATATCCTTACAATTCAAATCATTTCATAACCATCAACATATTCATTTCCATTCATAATTTAATCTTCAATAATCATTTTAATCAGTACTTTCATCAAGTCATAATCATCATAATAATCATTCATCATAATCATCAATCAACATAACATTTGATAACAAACAGTGGCCTAGTCTCGAGTGTTAACACCCGAACTTACCGTCATGCATCACATAATATTTTATATGCCAAAAACATCATTTTTATTATACAAAATCATATTTATATTATGCATAATTAATTGGTATCAAAAATAGGATTTTAGAGCATATTTTCAGGAACATTTTCGTAGCAGGATCTGGAATTGAGGAAAATAATTTAAAATAAGCAATTAATTTATAAAACCTGATTTATATAATTTTATATAATCCATTAATTCATAATAATTGATTTTTACAATTTAAATAATCAATTAATTCATTATAAACGATTTTTACAATTTAAATAATCAATTAATTCATTATAATCGATTTTTCCAGTATAAATAATCGATTAATTCATAAAAAATCAATTTTTACAATTTAAATAATCCATTAATTCATAATAATCGATTTTTACAATTTAAATAATCCATTAATTCATAATAATCGATTTTTACAATTTAAATAATCAATTAACTCATAATAATCGATTTTTACAATTTTAAATAATCATTTAATTCATAATAATCGATTTTTACAATATAAATAATCGATTAAATGGTACTGACTTCGAACCACTGATCTGAATAAAATTCTAATCGATGTTTAGTAAGTAAATAATCGATTTTCAGCCACTGTTCATCATCTTTTTCCTCGGGTCAGTTTTAACATTATCATTTTTTAATCACCAAACTTCAAAAAAATGTTCTCCAATGTTCACAGATCGTTTTAGAGTCATTAATTCGTAATTTTAACAACAATTTCATGGTTTATGATTCTTAGTTTTTCAAACATGTCAAACACAAAACTCAACCAAACGACCGTTTATGAACGTAGAAACGATCTATATGAACATTCTAGTCACTAGATATATCTACGGGCTTACCTCGAAGATTAATGGAGGTTTCGAGAATTTTCTGGCGAAACTTCCGGCGACGATAGCTCTCAACTCCGGCGACCTTACACCAAATTGACAGCACCACTGCGTTCTCCAAACTCAAGGCTATTTCCCAAAATGAATTTGATGAAGAATGGTGAAGTTTTGGTTTCCATTATATAGAAGAAGAATGGAGAAGAGGCCAATGGTTCCTGCGTCACTTCTCTGTTTGAGCGGCTAGTGGAGCGGACGGCGATTTCTTCCCATTTCAAACGCAAGTCCCTGATTGGGACTAATTTGGTCCCAGTCGGGGAACACTTTTTGGTCCAACTTTCTCCGAATTGAATTCCGTTTGCACCGTTTCGATCGTATAATTAAACTCTATCCAACGTTATAATTTTCATATTTATTTGTAATACTTTTTCCGACATCATATTTTTGGGATTTTGACTTTGACAGGGTCAAAATTGATTTTGTTGACCTTTACTCAGAAAGGTTTTTACATTTCATTAGTATTATTTATTCTCATGATTTATTTCAATAAATCATTTCAAAGTTTATATCACAAACAAATTATTCATTTATTCTTGATTTGGATCTGTACTCAGGTTCTCAATCAAGATCACACAATAAATCAACATGTTGGATTTATCTCTATGAGATTTATCCCAATTATGTTTATTGGATATCAATATATATTTTATTTCAACCCAAAACCCAACAACAATTTATTTTAATCAAAACAAATTTTGTTTAATTGAATATTTAATTCAATAAATTTTAGGGTATATTTTGGGGCGTTACAGAGGTGTTGGGGACTTGTCGTAGGGTCCAAAACAAATTAAAAATTTATAAATATCCTTAACTAACCCCCAAGATATAATCAAATAAAAACTATAGCTAGGGCAAGTAAGGGTCGATTCCACGGAGAAAGTTTGTACGTTTTCAAACCAATTTAGCATGCAAACACATTGTCACAAAAATAAAACAAATAAAAGCATACTAACTACTACACATATGATAAAACTTATTATAAAACTTAGGAAATATTGCCCAAAATAATCCTAACTTTACCCGGTCTTTCAAAAATAATCTCACCTTTCACTGTGACGCATAATAATCCCAACTTTACTGAAATTTGCCAGTTTTGGGTCGCCATTAAGTTTCTAACGGAGGGATAATGGAAATGCCCGTTTTAGACAACAAAATGAAAGTTGGGATTATTTTTGATGAATTTTTGTTTTTTAATTTTTTTTGAAATTTTCATTTAAATTTTTTAAATTACTTTCTACCTCCATCATCATTTCTTTTTCCTTTTTTAAAGATTAGTCTTAGTTTAAAAAATAAAAACAATAGATATAAAAAATGAAAAAATGAGAAATGTAACTAAAATGGTACAAAAATAATAAATTAAATAAGGTAATCAATGAAAACTAACTTGAAATTGGAAAAAGTAAAATAAAAATATACGGGTGGGTTTTAATATTTTAGGCATTATACAAAGCATTAACATATCACTTCTTATTTATTAGAAAAAATTATCTACATTAATTCCAACTTTACCGGACGGCTTGTTCTTTTAAAAAATAAGTAGTACATTAAGACTCTGTATAGTGTGTAAAATGTTAAACCCACGACTCCATATATATTTATTTTATTTCTTACCAGTTTCTGTTTAATTTCTATTGATTACATTATTTATTTGATTAATTTTGTATGGTTTAGTTATTTTTCTCATTTTCATTATTTTTTTAATCTATTTTTTTCTAAGGTAAGAATAATTTTTAAAAAATAAAAAGAAATGGAGGTTGAAAGTAATTCAAAAAATTTAAATAAAAATTTCAAAAAAAATTTAAAAACAAATAATCCCAACTTTCATTTTGTTGCCTAAAACGGGCATTTCCGTTATCCCTCCGTTAGAAACTTAACGGCGACCCAAAACTGGCAAATTTCAGTAAAGTTGGGATTATTATGCATCACAATAAAAGGTGGGATTATTTTTGAAAGACCGAGTAAAGTTGGGATTATTTTGGATAGTTTTTCCTAAAACTTATTCAAATAAACATAAGAACTTAAAAATAACTTATATAAACATTGAACTTATAATATAACTTATAAACAAAACAAATACCTAAGTATATAAAAGTATAAAAACTTATATTTATAACTTATAAATAAACACAAGGGGGGGGGGGGGTTGCATGAAAAGTAAGTATTTTTTGGTTTTTTTTTTGATAAAATGGGGGAAAACAAGCTCTAAAGATATTCAACTTCTCCAACTAAAGTAAACCCAAAAAAACACCACCAAGAACCCGAAACAAAATGAAAAAGAGAACAAACACAAATCAAACATTACACGTATAATAGGCACGTAGACAATATATTACGTAACTTACGCACTTAAGAATAGAAAAAATCAATCAAAGACCGAGTCGATTCATTTCCTTAACCACGATATGGAGGATTGTCAACTCTCCACACGGCCCGGAGTCATGCAATTCAAAGGCCCGTTTTGAAATATACCTTAGAACCCTAACTCTCTATTCAAGCATGAAAACATGCTTCCACTATAGAAAAAGTTTATAAAAGAGAGAATCTATTATGCATTCAACTCTCATACATAATCTATTCACAAACTGCCAATACCTTATGTATTTTAACAAACTTTTTCTCCTAATGATGAGCACATTTCACATATTTCCATGAACTTCTCAAACCAATGACGTTTTTTCTATTCACATAAATGAACACAACATATTTTCAATAAATTGAGATCGTTTTTGAGCTTAAACAACCTCAAATTAATGAAAATAACAAACGAACACACGAAAACATAACAATCACTCAATAACGAATTCTAAGAAAAATGAATCATCTTATGGAGCTAAGAAGTCCAAATTCCTTAAAATCAACGAACACAAAAGCACAAAAGAGATTCACGTATGAATTCGGAGTTCATTTAACTACCTTATGGAGCTAAAATAGCTTCAACAAAAACCGAATTCCACATACCAACCTACTTATGAAATCAAATTATGTAATTCAACCAATTCAACAACAATTTGCTCAATAATTGAAGAAAAACTAGTTTGAATCAATTCTCATTCATAAGGGATTTAATATAGACATAAAAAAAAACCACAAAAGAACACCAACCATTTTTTTAGAATTTTATGAAACAAACAAAACAAGCAAAAAAAATGTGAAAATTGAACAAAAAAACAAAGTTTTACATAGAATTGGAGAAAAAAAGTTAAAATTGACAAATAAGGGTTACCAATTGTATGAAGAAATTGAGAAATTGAAGAATTGAAGCTCTTGGAACCATCACTGGCCTATGCCCGGAGCTACTGCCGACCGCTCGCCGGAACTGATGCCGCCGCCGGTTCGCGTCTGCCGGCCGTCCGCTGCCGGTTCGGAGCTGCGTAGATAGCAGCGGCTAGAGCCGCTGCTTTATTCTCGGTGATTCCCCTCTACTTCCCCCTATCTTGTTGCAATTCGTCTTCAATTTGATTAAGAGTGAACGACCTTCAATTTCTTCCCGTTGGAGCGTGTGGGCGAATTGAATGGAGAGACGTTGGAGCGTTTACTTCGCAGTTGCCTTAATGAAGAAGAAGTTGTGTTTCTTCTTTTTTTCTATCTTTCTTGTGCGAATCAGGAGAGCAATGGCAGTTAACTTGTTTTGATGATGGGTTTGGGCTATGGCCCAAATTCAATCTCCTTTTTCCAAACTTGAATTGCAATTTGGTCTTTTCCTACACTTTTCACTAAAAAATAAGATATCTGATGATTTTGGGTTAGGAAAAATAAAAATAATAGAATGTAAAAAAATGATTAAAAAAACTACTATTTATGAAAGAAAATAAAAAGAATGTAAAAATGAAAATTATAATAAAACTAAACTAAAGAACTAAAAATTAAACTCTAAAAATATTAAAAATGCCTAAAAAAGAATAAAAAGAACTAACCCAAAAACGACTTATCAAGAGGACATGCTGATGACATCAACTAAGAGAGGGCCTTCATCATCAATGCCCTCATTACCAAGTCTAAGGTAAATTGGGCTGCACATTTCTTCAATTCCATCTCAAAGCATCTGGGAAAACCCAACCAGAAATACCTTTGTCAAGGTCTGTACATTGGACATATTTTGGAGTCCATGTGTGCTGCTTCTGAAGGAAAGAAGTATAATGCCAGATATTGGCTATACTATCTGTCTTCCAAAGGGGAAAACAGAGCTGGCACTAATGCAACTACAGAGGAAAGTTCTTCAGACAATGTCCTTATCATGAGTCTGAAGAAGTCAGTAAAGAGGAAGCAAGGGGTGTCTCCTTCTCCCAGTGCTGAAGCACCACAGAATCTTGCTCAAGTTCCTGATGAAGAAATTCCTCAAGTTCAGAATTCTCCAACTTCCTCACAACCTCAAATTGATGATGCTGAGAATCAATTCTGGCAGCTCTACTATGACTGGAGAGCTTGGAAAGTTGGAAATTCAGCAGAACAGTTGTTGAGTTGGGACCAGCAACTGAAGAATGAGAAGATCATCAAGAAATGCTTAGGTCTGCCAGTCAACTATTGCTTTGAGCAAATCCTGGATGTTGACTAGGTATGGCAAAGGAACTATGAAGATTTGCATCTGGAACACTTGGTCACCTCACTAGTTTCAGAATTTGAGGCTGACGATGAGGATCTTGCAGTCTACAGGCCAATCTTCTCAAAGGCTACAAAAGATCAGGTGGCTCCTACCACTAAAGCACAAGAAGATATGGAAGCCACAGCTGAGGATTTCCAAATTTTCCTCGAAACCTCCCCTTCCATTGAAACGGTTCTGACTAAAGCTGACCAGGAGAATGCAGCCTCTACTCCACAAGAACAGAACCAAGAAGCATCAGAAGAAGAACTCCAGCAACTTCTCCATTCTCAAGATTTAGAGATTCTCAAAACTCCTTGTGAGATCACCAATCCTACTCAAACTGAGATTCCGGAGAAGTCAGCAGAAAATCTGGAAATGTCCAAACTTCTAGAAGCAAATGAAGTTCAAGAAGAGCAAGCTGTAGAAATCCAAAGAAGTTCTACAGAAGCTGAGAAGGAAATTCAAATGGCTGGACTGGACACCTCTGAAACTCTAGTAGCTGTGTTTAAGCAGCAGAATAAAGTTGAAGAAAGAGATTCCCTCTCTAGGGAAGTCTCAAACTTTATGCTTGATGAGACAGAAGAAGAGTCTGAAAGGACATTGAAGATTGATGATGGAGAAGCTGAGCAAGAAGATGCTGAATCTCTCCCTATGCAACTTTTCCACAGAGCACCTTCTTCACATCAGGTAACTAACTTTCACTTCCACTGCTCTTCCACATCCACCCTTCCGGATGAAGTACCGGAAAACTGGACAAGAAAGGTCCAAGGGTTGATTGAATCAGCCCTAACGTCTCAGCATGCCTCCTTTAGGCAAGAGATAGAGCAAATGGAAGCAAGGCATAACAAGCTGATGGAGAAATCTGAAGAAAAATGTTGCTCAGATCTCAAGGAGATAAGCAAATCCGTGGAAAAGACTCTAGAGATTATTTATCTTTTGAGTAACTCTGTGAGCAACACAATGGAAGCCTATGCATCTGACAGCCACCTACAATTCAAAGAAATCACTAGAATCAAGGAGCAGATAGCAACTGTCACAGTCAGTCTTCAGAAGCAGATGGGACTCCTTCAGATGGATATCAAATCAGCATTGGCAGTGTCTTCAGCAAATCAGGTGGTGATCCAAGACTACTTAAAGGTTATTGCTGAAAATCAGAAGGAAGCATTCAGGATGTTCAGGCACTTTGGAACTTACACTGGAAATCGCAAGATAGATGTAATTGTCCAACACAATAGTCCATCCATGATCCCACAGCTGCCTATTGAAGTCATGCAAGGAGAGCTCACTTACATTCCATCTCATCTGAACATGAAGGAACTGATACGGGAAGCCCAGCAGAGCAATCCGGAGAACTCAACTCAACATCTAACAGACTCTAGCCTTGATGGATTAGAAGTTGTTGGAACCATTGCCTCCCACTTCTCAGATGATGCACAAACAAAGGAGAGATACAACAATCTAAGGCGCATCAAAGAACAATGTGGAATTATGCAAGGCATTGGTGAGACTGCCGGATCATCAAAGCGCAAGAAGCAGTGAAGGCTCTTTTCATCAAACCAGGGGGAAGTATGTGAAAACATTATTTGGTTTTGATGAAAACACCTTCTTGTTTAAACATGAGTTTTGGTTTAAACATTGCTTAATAGTTCTCTTAATTACGCATATTCATTCTAAGTGTGATTCTTGAGATTTATCCTTAAGCGCATACATTCAGGGGGAACTTAACTGTTTTTGGCTAACAATTGCTTCAATTGTTTTTGGCAATGAACTATTGATAAACTCTAAGCAATGGGTGCCGGATACGTCAGTTTAAGTACTAAAGTTGGAGATCTCCGATTCAGATACTTTACAAAATCTGCTTTCTTAAACTGAGCTTTAATCCTTAGTTCATTTCCAACTTTGCTCTTAAGTACTGGTCCTTAGGATTTTCATAATGTACAGGACTTTGGAAAAATATTACCACTTTTTCTTTTAAAATAAGTTACAAATTTTTTTTGGTACTACCTCGTGCTATTTAGAAATTAGAACTATAGGGAATGAAAAATGATAGTTTTATTTAGGGCCTTGAGAACCCAATAGGAATAATTTCCATTTAGTACATAGATATTTTTTTGGGCCACTCTTTTGGGCTTAGCCAAACCAAAACAGTTACGTTTCTCAAACCAAACGAAACTGATTTGAACAGTTTCAACACATTGGTAACTGGTAAAAGATTCCTTCCACTTTTCAACTTCTTGGAAGTTGAAACTCTTTTACTCTCACCGTTCCAACTACCCAATTAGTGGAACCCGTGAACCTCCCCTCTCTCTACCTCCTCTCCTATTTAAATCAAGACATCTCAATCCATTCCTATCACAAACAACTCTTTCAATATGAAAAGTCTTCAAACTCACTGTCTGAGAAACACACCAAGAAAAATATCCTCAATGGAGAAATTTTTCTTTCTCATCCTCATAGACGGCAATGGAGAAAGCCTAATGAGAAGAAAAGACTTCCAAGGTCTATGGTGAGAATCTCGGCAGCAGAGAAGGTCTGTGGTGAAAATCTCGTATTTTTCAGGATTACACCATACACCTTCTCTGGAAACAACACTCTCTCCATCTTTGTTTCTTCTAATTCTTTTTACAAATTTTCTCTCTTTCTTTTATTTGTGCAGTCTCTGCACCCTTTACTCAAGCAATTTTTTTAATTTACTTTCTCAAATTTTTTTTTAAACCTTATTTTATTTTATTTTCAATCAATTCTCTTTTCCAAAACCTTTTTCATGTCGTTCTGCCTTTTTCTTTTCTTCCACCGCCGCCTCCTTTCCCTCCACTTTCTTTTTGTTCTTGTTTTTGCTTTTTAGAGAGATGTTGGTTCCAAGATCTCAAATATCCACTTTGGATATTAAAGATCTATCAAACGCACCGCCATCTGTACTACCAAGCAAAATCTGCTGGAAGTGAAAGCGGAAAATGGCAAAAAATATCACAAATCTCAAGACAAGACTTGGTTTAGGAATTATTGTAATTTGAATTGTATTTTTGTAAGAGTTTTTGTTAACAAGCTGTATATTATGAGAAACTAAAAGAAAGTTATAAAATTAGTTCTCAGTACAACGACCGGAACTCTTGAACAGTTGTTTGTCATCATCAAAAAGGGGAAAATTGTTGGGAAAATATTATAGATTTTGATGATGATGTATTTAGATTGTAATAGGGACTTTAGGCCTCTCCCAATATTCAATGTAATTTTTCTTTTTTGAAATATTGTTAAAACCGAGTTCTTGAGATTTCCAATAAAGTTGTGATATTTCTTTAAGTGGTTTGATGCTTGAAGACTTAATCAAATTCTGTGATATGCTTGAAGATAATTAAGCTGATTCAAGAACAAATGACTTGAAGACAGAGTCTGGACCCCTCAAATTAAAGAGCTCGTCTAGAATTCCTAAACAAGCACTAGAAGACAAACTGAGTAAAATGCTACAGTCCAGAATTCTTGAACAACAGCTAGAAGACGGATTCTGTGGAAATAGGAATCCCTCCTCAAACAATTGGGTATGTCCAAACACCCACTCCAATGAGGAATCCTCAATCACAATATTCATTCAAAATTGAAGCCAGCAAATGCAACGGATAGTCTATTTTGATTCAACGGATAGATTATCCAATCCAGCTATAAATAGCAACCTAGGAAGACTGGAGAAGAGATAACGAGATAGACGAACACAACGAAGCAATCTCTAATAACAAAGCTATCTCATTCACACTGAGCTCAAAAAACTTGACAAAGAGAGATTTTTAAAACTCCTTATCCAGAAGCAAACTTCTCCTCCTTCCAAAGAGCTATAGTGTAAACACTTGAAGGTTTCCTTGCCTCAAGTACCACACCACGTTGAAGAATATAACTTTTGATCAAACTTCTTGATTAAAAGGGGGTAGATCAACTTTCTCACAAGTTGATCTTGCAGGTCCTATTGTTCGGATCTTGCAGTTGTTGAAGAAGCGTGACCTTCGAAGGAACAACAAAGCCAGCACGAGTGTAACACCCCAACCCGCATAACCCAAACCCGTGAGACACCGGACCGGTGTGCCACTGGATTGGTATCCGAATATACAACATTTTCAAAACAATTTTAAACAAATGTTCTATCAATACATATAAAAATCCATCGGAGTAATTTAAAATAATGCGGAAGCCTTTTTAAAGTCAAACAACTTGGGATCTTGCCCGAAAACGTAATAAGCATTAAAGTTAATTAAATAAAGCATAACTACAGATTAAAGAGACAGTCACGCCATCGTACATCTCCTCCTCAATGCCCTGTGGGATCGGCTCTAGGTTCATCTGTCTGATCACCTACGGACAGCAAAAAGGAAAACAACGCTATCCGCTCAGCATTGACGCTGAGTGGCACTCCATTGTAGCACAAGAATAAACATAATAATTCAATGATTAGATCGTGCATATGTTTATCCTTTTAATAAAAATCAATTCAACTTTACATTCGGTTCTTTAGATGGTTGACCAACGGTCAACTTATTTTCTTTCTTTTCAAAACGATTTAGGTGTTAAGGATTCCTCATTAACTCTTTGACCACCGGTCAAACCAATTTAGACTTTCACGAAAGTCAAACCACTTAACATTTAATGCCTATGACGGAGATAGCCTCAATCCGTAATACCGAAGATAGCCTCAATTCGGTGGAGGTAGGATCCCTCGGGGGATAGCCTCAAACCCAAGATCACAGACCCTCGTGCGCACGTCTTAACCTCACTGACCAGGACCTGCAGCCGCCCGAGCAATGGCCAGTTTCTATGTTCAACATAATAAACCAATTGACCCTAATTACCGATTAGAATTAATTAATTAACCTAACTAATTCATTAAAGTCTTGGATTTAACCATCCGGTCAAACCTACGACAACCGAATATCCAGTCAAAGTCCAAGTCAAACAGGACCTAACCCAAGTCAAAGTCAAACCTGTTCAGTCAATCCATAATCCTCAACAATACAATTTAAACAATCAATTTAATTCAATTAACCAATTTAGCCAAATTATAGCATAAACACATATAACGATCCAAACCATTAAATCTATTCTAAACGCTATTAACTTCATAGTACGGACCTGGATTACGCCGAAATCGAATCGATAGCTCGAACGGAAGACAAATCAACGAAATCAAATGAACGGGTCAAATTGAGTCAAAATACGAAATCGACCGATCAATCCGGCGTGGAGGTTAATCTGCCGGCGATATCAATCCGTGGCAGCGGCTGGATGCGGCGACGGTGACGGACGCCGGCGACAGTGATGAGGCGGCAGCTCGACGGCGATGAGCAGCGACTGGCGGAAGATAATAGGTTTAGGTTTTATTTATTACTTCCAATACTAGTGGTTTGGGCTCCGGGCCCAAAATACCTGATTAAATGGTCATAACATGAGCTCCATAACTCCGATTCGCGAGCTGTCTGAATCGACGCGATCACAAAAATATTTCCTACGAAATGACATAAAAGTTGGGCTTAGAATCCAAATTATAATTTTAACTCCTTTTTGGGCCCAATTCGTAATCAATTGCTCTAACAATTTAATTAATTCTTTTGGGCCAGATTTCGGGGCGTTACATTTCTCCCCCCTTAAAAAAAGAATTTCGTCCTCGAAATTACCTGAGTCATTGGTCGTCGAAGAGATGAGGGTACTGAGTTCGCATAGATTCTTCGGTCTCCCAGGTTGCTTCTTCCACCGCATGATTACGCTATAGTACCTTTACCAAAGGTACCGTCTTATTTCATAGTACTTTAGTTTCACGCGCCAAGATCTTAACTGGCTCTTCTTCGTAAGACAAACTCTCATCGAGAGTTACAGCATTGGTCGGCAACACATGAGTCGGATCTGAACGGTATCTACGCAGCATGGAGACATGAAAGACGTCGTGAATCCTGTTCAACTCTGGTGGCAACTCTAACCTGTAAGCAACAGGTCCTATTCGCTCCAGAATGCAGTAGGGTCCAATGAATCTAGGGCTAAGCTTCCCTTTCTTCCCGAACCGTAGGACCTTCTTCCAAGGTGAAACCTTCAAGAATACCATGTCACCAACATTGTACTCTATGTCTCGTCTCTTTAAGTCTGCATAAGATTTCTGTCTGTCCGAAGCAGTGCGGAGTCGGTCTCTGATCACACGAACCTTCTCCTCGGTTTCCTGCACAATATCTGGTCCCTCGAGCTTACGCTCGCTAAGCTCTGTCCAACAAATCGGGGTTCGGCACTTTCTGCCGTAGNATGCGGTAGGGTCCAATGAATCTAGGGCTAAGCTTCCCTTTCTTCCCGAACCGTAGGACCTTCTTCCAAGGTGAAACCTTCAAGAATACCATGTCACCAACATTGTACTCTATGTCTCGTCTCTTTAAGTCTGCATAAGATTTCTGTCTGTCCGAAGCAGTGCGGAGTCGGTCTCTGATCACACGAACCTTCTCCTCGGTTTCCTGCACAATATCTGGTCCCTCGAGCTTACGCTCGCTAAGCTCTGTCCAACAAATCGGGGTTCGGCACTTTCTGTCGTAGAGTGCCTCATACGGAGCCATCTGAATACTCGCCTGGTAACTGTTATTATATGCAAACTCCATCAACGGCAAGTAACGCTCCCAATCTTCTCCAAAGTCGATCACACAAGCTCGCATCATATCCTCGACAATCTGTATCACCCTCTCAGACTGGCCATCGGTCTGAGGGTGAAATGTCGTACTAAGGTTCAAAGCTATGCCAAAAGCCTTCTGAAGTCCTCTCCAGAACATCGAAGTGAACCGGGGATCTCTATCAGATATGATTGACAGCGGTGCACCGTGCAACCGAATTATCTCTCTAACGTATAAGTCTGCCAATTTGTCCAATGAGGAGTCACGTCTGATGAGTAGAAAATGAGCGGACTTTGTCAACCTGTCAACAATGATCCAGATGGCGTCATTCTTTCGTGAAGATCGTGGCAATCCGATCACAAAGTCCATAGTGATCCTTTCCCACTTCCATTCCGGAATGGTAGGAGGGTGCAGCAACCCTGTCGGAACCTGGTGCTCAACCTTGACTTGCTGACAAGTCAAACAGCGCGCAGTGAACTCGGAGATTTCCTTTTTCATAGCTGGCCACCAATAGGATTTCTTCAAATCCTGATACATCTTGTTACTACCCGGGTGCATAGTGTATACGGTTCCGTGAGCCTCGCGCAACAAGCGATCCCTCACTCCACCGCGGGGCACCACTAGGCGTTCACGATAGTACAAGACTCCGTTATCGCGAATTGCAAACTCGGGCCTCTTTCCTGTAGGAACTAACTCTCGAGTCTTCTGACAAAACTCATCATCTCTCTGTGCTGTACGGATCTCCTGCTCTAACGGAGACTGAAGCTGTAGCTCGGCTAACGATTTTCTGCTCAAAGCATCGGCCACGATGTTAGCCTTGCCCGGGTGATACTCAATGACTAAATCGTAATCCTTGAT